CAGGACTCCTATATAAAATCAAAACAACTTTTCCAAACTACTTCAATATCTTAAGCTTCAATATCTTAAGCTCATACTTGCTTAATAGAAAATTTAGAATCAAAATTAAAGATGTGACTTCGAGCATCAGAAATATAGAATGCGGGGTACACAGGGCAGTGTGCTAAGCCCTGTACTTTATCTTCTTTTCACAAACGATATGCCCACAGATGATCTTCTAACCATATGCACTTACGCCGATGACATAGCAATTATTTCATGCAATTCCGATATTAGAACAGCAACTTGTCAGTTACAAAATTATTTATCTATTCTCGAAAAATGGTTTTTAGATTGGAATATCAAAATCAATATCGAAAAATCTCAGCACATAATTGTTTCTCTAAAACATCACAACAGTCCACCTATCATCATGAACAATTCAATAATTCCACTATGCAATTCTGTTAAATATTTAGGCATGCACATTGATTCGAAATTGACATGGAGAACGCACATTGAATATAAAAAGAAACAAATCCAACTGAAAATAAAAGATTTTTACTGGCTTTTTGGGAGGAAATCTGAAATCTCTCTCGATAACAAGGTACTTTTGTATAAAACTATCATAGTGCCCATTTGGACTTATGGAATCGAACTATGGGGTTGCTCATGCAAATCTAACATAAACATCATTCAAAGGTGCCAGAATAAAATTCTGCGTATCCTTACTAATGCGCCTTGGTATATTTCGAATTTTTGCCTACATAAGGATTTGAAAATCTCAACAGTCAACGAAATGATCAAGATTAGAAGTTCATCTTTCAACAACAAATTAACCCAGCATACAAATCCTACAATTCAAGCGATTCAGAGACCGATAAGAAGATTGAGCAAGAAATGGCCTTCCGATCTACCAAACACCTAGCCCAATGTCTGCACGCGTCCTGACGTAGTACGCGGCATACATCATCACGTCATCGTTCATTTATGTTATTATTTTTGTATTACTGTTTTAATTTAATTTTTATTTCAACTTTTTTCATTTTATATTCAATGTATTGCATTTTTTGTTTTTTTTGTATTTTTTTTTGCTCATATCAATTTTGTAAATAAGACATTAAAGTCTTGATTAACAAAAATAAATTGTAACAAAAAAAAAAAAAAAAAAAAAAAAAAAGCCTTCTGAAAACTGCCTTGCGCGCACCAGATTGAAAAACACTGATTTAGAACTTTATTCAATTTAAATTATTTTTTTTTTAAATTGTGTTGGTTCATTGATACTGTTATTTTGCAAATACTAGCACCTTTCCTAAAACAGTCATACCCGCTCCACAGGTTGGGAAACACTGATTTAGATATAAAGTACAATATTTTTCACTTATTTATTTTTTCATTAATATTTAGATCAATCAAAGCGCTACAAGTAAAGTGTGTCGATATTGATATATATAAAAAAAATCTTGTGATATTTTCTCTAACATATAAAACGAAATATTTTCATTAATTGAAAAATATTAAAATAAGACTGATATATTTTTTGAGCTATTTTCTTTTTCTCTCAAAAAATTCGGGATTTTTTGCCAAAACGTGCAAAAGCTAAGAAAAAAAATTGATAATATTTATTGTGATCTCGAAGACTTACTCCGACTACTAAATATATATATAAATTATATATTTATATTATTAAAAACTAAAAGATAGTACGTTTGCTATATTAGTTCGGCGGTAAGAAATATTTTTTTAATAGCTTGATGAAAACAAGAAAATATTTAATCGAGTGATTTTAAATATAAAAATATATATATAGAATTATATGACAACAAAAAATGAGTAATGTAGACGTCGTGTTTTCGTTTCTTGTCATTTTATTTAACATTTCTTACGCTTATTACATATTGTTGTATATACATACATATATATAAATTAATAGAAGTTTTATCGAAACGATATTGATGAAATGTGTCTTGTAAGGTTTTTTTTTAATTACGAAAAAAACAAAAAATGTGTGAAACTGTGATTCCTGCCTTTCTCGTGTAAAACGGCGATGCTAGAAAATAGAAACATTAAGCGTTCTTTCCATTTAATTAAAAATAATTACTAAAAAGCTGTACGAGTATTGCATTTTGGATCAGAAATATAGCTTAGTTGTAAAGCACACAAATTGATGATTTAATAATAATAAATACCGAGTCAAGATGTTTTTTTTTAAAGCTACATTTCTATCAAAAATCCATTACAACAATATGGCACATTGTCCGCGGTCTAAGAGTAAAAACAATATTTGCTTTAATAATTTTTTATAAGTCGTTTTTGTGATATCATCGGGTGAAGATTTTGACGAATTTATAACTGTAATTTAAAATAAATGGAAACAATTACAGTTACACTTGTACTTCATAAAATCCCATGTTAGCAACAAATTTAAGTCATTATCATATATAATGAAATTATCTTTTACAATTTTCATTTACCATTTACCATTCACTCTTTTTGTACGAATTTCTTTTCCAATGGAATTAATCGAGTTTAGTAAAGAGCAATAGATTTAATGAAGTAAAAGTTAATGTTAAATTTAATAAATATAAAAACAATTACTCTTCTGTAAGTTTCCATCAAGGTGCATTTCTTGTATGTAATACAGTATTATAATAAACAATGGTTTAAAATTACAATCGGTTTGTTTTATTGATTTGTTTGTGTTTTACAGGTGAAAATTGTAATAGATTTTAGGGATGTAAGCCTTTAGGGATTTGCTTAGAGCATCTTTTGTAACAAGAAGAATTATAAAGATTGAGGTTTTTTTCAGTTCTTCCATGGTAATAGATTCTTTGGTGTATAAGATGAGCACATTAGGAATTTCTGGGACTCCCTTAGAGCACAACCAGAAATGTTTGATTTTTTTTTTAAGTTCTTTCAAGAAAGATTTTATAGGTACTTGAAACGATTTATTAAGCTTTTCTAGAATCTCCTTAACAGGTCTGCTTAGAACACCTTTTAGTACCATGAATATTACGATTTTTTTAAGTTCTTTCGAAGAATATTTCATAGGCACTCGAAATGATTTACTGAACCTTTCTGGAACTTTTAGGGGTCTTCCTTTGAGCAGAATTAGTATTTATTCAAAATCTTTGTCAGTTATTTCAAAATAGATTTTAAATGAATCTTTTTATTCTTTAATGGCTCTATCGAAAACCTACTGAAATCTTTAGGGACTGTTTTAATGAAAATATTAGTACATTCTGGAACTCCCTTAAGGGAATCTGCTTAAAGCATCTTTAGTACCCTGATATATTGTGAATTTCTTTAATTCTTTCAATGAAAATCTAATAGATTCTTGAAATAATCCTTTTAGAACTTTCAGAGGTCTCTTTAGATTGGTTTAGTTAACTACAAAGGTCAAAATGTAGCATTTCTGTAAGTTTTTCTAAAAAAGATCTTATGCATTCTTGAAAAGATCTGTTGAGCCTTTCTGGAAGGTTTTAGGGGTTTTCCTAGAACAGTTTAGTATGTAACGAGATCAAAATTTGTAAGTTTTTTCAATAAAGGTCTTGACTGTTGAGTCTTTCTTAAATTTGCAGAATGATGGCAAAGATCTTAAAGATTGTTGAAAAAAGCGTTTTTGGAAGTTTTAGGGACCTTCTTAGAATTCTTGGAATTTAGTATTCTAGAAGGTGAAGTTTCAGAATCAGTTTTTCTAAAAAGGTCTTGGAAGGTGTTGGGTCAAGTCTTAGAACTGCAGAATGATGGCACGTATTAAATGCCAAAACGTATGAAGAATTGTATTAATATTAATTTATTTTTTTATTTTGACAGATTGACTACTTTAAATGGCATATGAATATATAAATACATAATTATTGCCACGGTTACTAATAATTTACTAACTAATTAATACCTTTTAACCATATTATATTGTTTAGGCTTTTAATATATATATTTATCAATATTTATATTTGTAAATAATTTTACTTGTTTATTAAACGTCAAAAA